TATTACGAAATTAATGACTTTAATGTGGAAACATAATCGAACGATATTAAGTGCTGTACAAATATTGGAAACACTTTTTGAATTATGCACTCGAGAACATGATGTTTTAACTGCTGATGCTATTCGTAATTGTTGGAAAGAAGGATTCGTAGAAAGTAGTCAAATATTGTCTATTTTTGAATTTAATAATCTTATTAAAAGATACGGTATTATTATCTGGAGTAAAATATATAATACACACGCAAATCTTATTAAGAATACATTAGTTAATTTGGCAACAGATGTTTTAGAAGTTATAATTAATAATGTTGACATTACAAAATTTGATTGCGTTGAAGAAACTATTCTGTCATTCCTAACGGCATCTGATATAAAGTTGTGGATTGAAGAGATAACCATTATTGCAATATATGGTGAAATGTTAACAGGCTATTTGTATATGTCAAATGTTGAGAAGAAAATACGGATTTTACAGCAACCTACATCTATCAATATAATAAAGGATATTTCTTCGGATAATACAATAAATTGCTTATCATGGGCTTTATTTATCACAGATTTGCTTAATAATCTGTACGAGAGATTAAAAGGTATTGATTCAAAAAATGCTAATACAGTTTCAGAAGAAGAAAATTTTGAATTAAACGATTTAAATTTACCAGGAATCACGGAGATATTAATAGATATTATATACGTAGTTAGCATAGTAGACATATACAGTAAGCATTATAAATCCACTAAATATTATAATGCTGTTGAAAAACTTCGTAATTTGCTAAAAAAAGGTTTTGTTAATTTGCATAAATATTTTACAAAGAATATCCATGATGATATATTATCACGTATACAAACAAATCAGAAAAGTTATGGATGTATGCTACCATATATAATTTACATATATTACAATGAATTTTTCTCGAAAGATCAACTTGAGAAATATTTTGAAAATTACAACAGTAATAAAATTACAGGAGATTATGATGATGAAACGAATATTCAAATATTACAAATCTTAAATTGGTCACAAAATGTTTCGCAAATATTAACACACGGTGAAATATATTCAATAATTGCCATAAGAACTATGATATCTGACATTTCCAAAGATCAACCTTCACTATATGATCCTATTATGGATAATATAATTACGTTACATTTTAATGAACTTTCTGCAGTTTTGGATCATTATATTTCTGATACTTCATGGGATAAATTGTTTTTGCAACTAGAAATTATAAGATTGTTTGAGACAGTTGTCCAACATATTCCGCAGAAGTTGAAACAAGAATATTGGGATGTTATCTTGATATTTCTCACAAAGTGGCAACAATTATATAACAGTGCCAAACATAATTATAGTGACATTAAAATAACAATGTTGATAATAGCATTTAGTCAATTGTATTATGCAGTTGAAACTTTGATGAACAAACATAAATTGAAGCCAATACCAGAATTACCTTCAACACTCTTGGATGAATGGAAAAATGTAATTGCTGGCAATATATATAACGGCATTGTTCAAACTTGGATATTTTATGCAGATTTATGTAATCAAAGTACGGATATTATAAAATCTATTATACCATTGAATTACTTGGGAGAGGCAATTTGTGCATTTGACAGTAGCATATTATTCAAAAATTATGATGAACAAACCGAAACAATTGATTTCAACAAGATGTTAATGCTATCTCTGAAATTACTACAATCTCCTGTTCCTAGCATTCAATTGGGTGCCTATTATGCATTGAAATATATGGTTCCGGAACTTGTACAACAAGATAAAGTTCTTGTTGAATCTGACAACTTTGAGGCGAACAATCTCAATATTAAAAAATTCGAAGAAGTACTATCAAATATACAGACTATTATAAATACAATGCTTATGGAATTCAAGTGAGTCTCTGTTTTATATTAAATTTTAATTGAATCATCGTGTTTTTTTAATTTTATTGTAATATTGTCTTTTTTAGATTATGTGATACAGTTACCTGCACAATCCAACCGTTTACAGATTCTTATACATATACATTAGGATATCTATTAACATGGGCAATTGTATTAGATATCTGCGAAAAGTCTCATAGTGATTTACGATATCAATATGCTGAAATATTGAAGTAAATATTTTATATAATGCACATTATCCATTTCTGTGATTTCTGTAATATGTCCTACTTTTTATTACTTATAACATTTAAAATTTATTTATTATATTTTTTACTAATTATCATTTACTGTAAATTTTAGAATTAAACTTTTTCCTTATCTGTTGGATAATATCTTCAAGTTAATACCTATGGAAGCGCTACAAGATAATAAAAATAAAACTGTAAAACTGCTAGAACTATTTACCACTGCTCCAGTTTTTCGTTTCAAAGGTAAAATTAATATTACATTTACATAAAATTTGATTTATTATATATTGTTATTATATATTACATTGCAATATATATATATTATAGAAAGTTGGACAGAAGAGAGATTAGATCATATTGTGTGTTGGTTATATACAAATTGTTTGAGGCTTCTACCAGTATTAGTTAGACAATGGCTAAGTACAGTTGATAGCAGAGTCAGTGCAACAGTAGATAAGATTACAAGTCATTACGTTAGTCCTATGTTATGTGAAGATGAGCTTCTTTATAGCAGATTACAATTGGCTAATGTTGAAAATATGCAGGTACGTTTTTTTTTCTCACAAACTCTGCTTCGTCCTTGTTCCTTATACAAATTTTAAGATTAAAGATTTATTTAAGCTATTATTTCAATAGATTGTATTTAAACATTTCTGTCAAGTTGAATATCGCGTATTTTGTGTTGTTATAGGTAAAAGTACACTCAACAGCAAGGGAAGTAATAGCTGTGTATCAAATGGAAGATACAAAATTAGAATTAAGCATAATGCTACCACCAAACTATCCTTTAGGTAGAGTAAAAGTAGAATCTGGTCAACAGGTAGATGGTATGGCAAAATGGAAAAATTGTCATATGCAATTGTCTAAACTTCTCACACATCAAGTAAGTCGCAATATGTATAAATTTATATGTATATATTAAAAAATATGTCTCAATATATGTATCAATATATGTATATATGTCTCAAATATATATATTTTTTATAGAATGGCTCTGTTTGGGACGGTCTTTTAATGTGGAAACGTAATTTGGATAAGAAATTTGCCGGTGTCGAAGAGTGTTATATATGCTTTAGCATTTTTCATATCAGTACATATCAAGTACCAAAATTGTCATGTCATACTTGTCGTAAGAAATTTCATACTCGCTGCTTGGTGAGCATACATTATTTATTAACATTTATTATTTTTAATATATTACTATATCAAATATGTCGTAATATCTTAC